GATCATGGCCGGCTTGTGAACCAACAAGTCGATCGCATCTTCAACACTTAAAAGCTTAAGACGACGAAGACATAGCCTGAAGTGTACAAAATTTTCTAGGTGCAAAACCTGCCGTTAAAACCCGCGAGACCTGTACTTGGTGGCTTCGATCACTGATCAGCTCGGAGGATGTATTATGCACAGGTTGTGTGTCGGTATTCGTTTATTTTGGGCTGTAATTTACCTTTATCTTCCACTTAAATCATAATTAGAACATCAAACGTTTATGTCCTTAAATCCTACATGAAAGTATTCGGGCGAAATTTGCAATCAAAAGTGCGCCCAGCGTATAATACCCTTTTAAGAAATCGGCCGCCTGTGGCACCAGTCAATGTTTGCTTACTCCTCTCAACACGGATTGAGATCCCGGGAAGCCCCCTTTGACAAATGAGTTGAACATTCATTTAGAGAAACACAGGATGCATCGGAGATGGAAAACTGGTTGGTTGATTACCAATGTCATCGCCTCATGCTTACAGCCTGCAGCTAAAAATGCAACAAAAAAACACAGTCGGCCTTCAGTGCAGTGTCTTCGATCGAGAGAAAATGTGCATTGGTCATATTCTACAAACTCATTCCACAATAGCCGTGGTCGAATTCATTTTCGTTGTAAGAACACGTTCCTTTTTTTGTCATAAAATGTAATGACGTTAAAATCATCAATATATAATGTTTCTGAAACTAGTCCCAGGCAGGGGCGGATCCAGAAAATCTCCAAGGGAGGGGCCATTAGAAACCAGGAGGCCCCCCCCATAATCCCACCTGTTGGAGGCCCCATCTTCCCACTTGTTGCCCCCCCCCCCCCCAAAAAAAAAAAAACTGCGTCTATTGAGCTTATCTAGCTGTTCAGGCAACATCTCAACATCTGTGCAGGCTTGGAGGCCCTCTGTGCAGGTTAGGAGGCCCTGTAAAAGTGGTCATCTCTGTGAGTATAAGAGACCTCCAAGTTATGAGCTTTACCAATCTTCTAACAAAGAAGTCTTCTCAGCTAGTCTTCTAAGAAATAACTAAGTGGGTAGGTTAAAAAAAAATCATCGGATTTCGGCCACTTTATTTTCAGGAGGCCCCCTTTTCAGCTTTTTAACTTTTTAACTTTTTATTTTATTTTTGAAAAAAATCGGCCAAGGGGGGGGCCATGGCCCCCATGGCCCCCCCCCCTTGTATCCGCGCCTGGTCCCAGGTATCTACATCGCCTTATCATCATAGAGAAATCGATGTGAACTTCCTATTCTGTTTTATTATATTTCAATTCTTTTGATTTCTAAAATTTTCGTGTGAAGCCTCACATAAATGCACCGAATTCGGTTCAAAGGGATTTTTCCTCAACTTTTTAGAATGCTTCGTTTTTGTTTTGTTTTTTTTTTGTTGTTTTGGCTATTATATATTTGCTTTTCATATTATTTAAATTTGACATCATTATTCATACTCTTCACCTAGGTCACCTCAGGCCTGAAGCAATACCTCCGAAATGCGCAAAAATGTAAAGCAGTGTCCTCACAAAGGCCATTAACGACCTGAGCACTCAGTCGAAACTTTCACTCTCAGGAACCATGGACATCAGGTGATAAGGCAAAGTTGATCACTCCCCTTGTTTGGCACAGTCATGGATCCGCTCCCGCATATGATCGCCGATCGCGGCCGTGGAAAACATGACCCGCACCCCCGCTTCCGGCTATGAGGGACGCGCTGACTTGCATGGCCGTTGGCGGGTACACACGGGCTCTGTTTGATTCGCTGCGCATGACAGCCGACCGGGGCTGGTTGAACCCCTCTGTGGACCATGTACCGCTGACCTCGCGCCGCACCCAGTCAGGGTCACAGCGGGGTGTGCAAATGACAAATAACGACTCGCAAATAGCCAATGAACACCGTGAGGCGGTACCGTTCCGGGCAAGTGCCAAAACAAAGTAATTGTCAGTAATTTAGGCGTAATGAAATTGACGTTCAATGCTGGCCTACCTGTTGACCCTGAGGCAACTTTATTGTCTAGAGCAGGGGTCGGCAAATGGTGGGGCATGCCCCCTTTGGGGGTAATGGAGCCCTTTCGGTGGGGGTAATGAGGGATTCTGAGAAAGCCTATCTTTTTAGAGTTTGTAGCTCCAGTGATGGAGCCATCGTGTCTGTTGCATCCCAAGGTTCAAAGATTAGCCCAGGCCAAAGGCACAGCACACATTGATTAGATACCAATTTTCATGTACCTGCTCGCCTCACCATCTCACCCCTCCGTACAGTCTTACAAAAGCAGCTGCAACTTTTAACCGTCGCCCGTCTGTTGGCGTTTCAACAGCCGCTAACGTAAGGGGGAGGAGTCGATCGGACCCCCGCGGCCTCTCGGACTCTGAGATGGAGCTGTGCATAAAAAAAGACGAGCGTGCTACCCGTGACAATAGGAAGCCGCTGCTGCCCATTTTTAAGGTCATTGGTCATTCCGTCTCATTCAAGAGGGCAATGACAAGTGTCGAGAAAATCGGGACCCGCTATAACTTCTTGAAGTGAGATTTTATTGGCTCAAGATGATCTCCAGAAAAAGCTCATAAGCCAACGGTCATTATGGGTCCAGAGGCCACTTTCACCAACAGAAAAATAGACACCTGCCGGAATTTTTTGCCTAAAGATCGTTTCACATATGGAGCGTAAACGGTAAAGCCCTATCCGCTTACGAGCCCGTCGCGTTTACATCGCGATACACAAATACCCAAAGAGTTCCAGGACGGTATGGAATTTCAGTAAACTTGGTTGTGTCAGCAATGGGGTCTGGTAGGTGGGGGTAATGACCCTGCCTGGGGCCCAAAAAGGGGGCACGACCCCTAATGACCTGCCGACCACTGGTCTAGAGCCAGGTAACTCAATAGTGGTTCAGCGTGTTGTGAGGTTACCATGGCAATGGCGACACCGTCGCGTTTCGTGCCATCGACTAGCACGAGTGCAGCTAGGTGCAAAACAGGATGCAGAGTCTGGTATCGCGCCGGCCCGGAAGTAACGATCGTGAAAGCCAGCCCAGCCCCAGCACGCACACATCATGTTCACGCACACGGCGAGTCGAAACAAAACAGACTTGTTAAAACCGGGAAAACGTTGGAGTTGAAGCATGTTGTCCACGTTTTCCAAGCACATGTGCAAGATGCAAGGGTTTGTCATGGAAAATGAAATATAATATACCTATCACGGCTCAAAGGGTTCCTCAGTAAACAATGTGGTTCCAGTTCTTTGACAACAACAAAACCTGATTGAACACAAAATTGGCCAGAAGTGATTGATCGACAAGGGAACAGAAAACACCGTCCTGCAGGTAAACAGCCGTTCGAGCGTGATTGACCCGTAAAAGTGGTGCTGAATGTTGAAAATATCAGCGCTCCACTGGGCTATTTTGGTAGAATCGAGGTTGAAGTGTGGGGGAGGAGGAAAGTCTGGCGACAATGGCGTGACCAGCCAATGAAATGCTCGGGTGGTTAAAAATAGTCTTCATGGGGACGGGGAATGCCTCGGTCTTCAAGGCAGGTAATGACTTTCATGAGTTTTGGACATCATTGTCGGTTCATGATTTTTTGTAGCATACGAAACGAATGTTAGGTTGCTGTTTTTAATGCCCGTCCTAAATTTGAAATTGTTTTGCCTATGCGCGTTGCACATGTCTTTCATGCGCTTATGGTAACGTTCAAGATTAAGTCGACATTAGCCAAGTCATTCATTCACATTGCAGAACATTTTTTTCTGGCAAATCATTTTTCACGGTTTCGAACGTGAGCCGAGTCGACTTCACACGAACAGAAAGGGAAACTGCTTTCAAGGTCTTCCGTGACCTACGCAGCAACAAGTGATAAGCGGCATTCAAAGAATCGCAATAGATTCCGCCGTAAGCATCGTGATAATTTTTTCGCGAAGGCAAAAAGCGATGCCATTTGAAGTCATCGAAGGTCAAACTTTGCCATTGTTCGACTGACGTTGACAATATGTCACAGATGATGCCATAGATTGCGAGTTAAATATGGAGCACCTTTTGTATAATGTAGCCTCGGCTGGCCTCTTTTTTACAAACGGCTTTGGTATAGGAAAAGGACCTGGAGAATATGACTGATTCATTACATGTCATGTTTGTACAATAGCCTTGCCCCTGTTATAACTATGTCAATCACCATTGCATTTCCATTATCTTTAACAATATTTTTCCAATGATAGTGTTTCCTGTGACCTGATAAGCTCAAATATGGAGATTGAACGCATTTCAAGATCATGACCTACGTATTCCTAATGTGGTATGCTGCGTATCAGTTGCCTTGTCTAACACTTTTCTATGTTTTGTTTTTATCAAAAATTAACGGCCGAAAAAAATGTGAGCTTAACTGACCTTGCTTGACCATCAACCCATCGTTGATGACTGATTATATAAGTCATAAACATCATCAATAAATGGATCACCGCTGCCTTCTATATATGAAAAATAGAACCTTTATAGTACGAGTAATCCACCGAGCGGGTGGGCCGGTCCGAATGTTTATCTGATTAAAAGTGATAAATGTGGAAAATTTCAGATTTATTGAGCTGTACTCACTTACGGATCCATTATGGCGGTCTTGGACGTTGCGGGGGGGGGGGGCGGGGCATACCCCAAAAAAGTTTCTCCAAATTAAAAAAAAAAACTCATCGGATTTCAATTCATTACGCACTGTTGTGCAGTTGAAATCAAACTTTTTCTTATAAAAGCTGTTACATATTCGTTTCATTCTTGAAAAACTGCAACTGGTATTCGATTTCGAGCACTGCGGGGGAGGGGGCATTTACCCAAAATGACTCCCCCCCCCCTGGATCCGCCAGTGACTGTACATATTCTCGATTGAGGCGTCACTGTGTGATACCTGCATTGTTCCCGACAACACTAACTGAAACCTTTCCCAGGGAAACAAAATAAAATGCACAAAAACACAGACTCTATCGCGCTCACATCCCCTGCCACTGCGACTCACCTGGCACCGCCGCGGCGGCGGCGACGAAGCACACCAACAGCACGAGCCGGAGCATGGTGAACCACTGTCCGGCACGGCCCGGGGGTGGCGGCTAAATAGGCGACCCACCGCCGCCACCGCCCGCCACGCCGGCTGGCCGGTCGCCGTAGCCGGGCACCGGGCGGAGTGCGCCCGCCAGACCAGAACAAACCCGAGGGCACACACAGCCAGCCCCACACGGCATTCGGAGAGTATTCCTACCAAGATGTGCTGTCTAAATTGTAAGTACATTTGTCCGCGCAACGTATGGGCCGTAGCTTGGAAACGGACCCCTGTCTTTTTCCCCTCGATATGTTTGAGTTGAACAAATCTAAGGTGCTTTCATTAAGTTCTCTATGTCTCTATGAAATCAATCTCTATGAAAAGCTATGATCGGAAGTTGGATGGTTACCTGTTGTGACCTAACATGGCCTGAGGGGTATAAAGTGGAGTCGGGATCATTGTTCAAGTTTGTCTAATTCAGAATTCAATATCATTTTCGTATACGACATTAAATCCTTCCGGGCGGAGAGGGAATAGGGTCACTTCTATAGGTACTCAACTCAGTTTAACACCTATCATAGATTTTTCAGTAGTGTGGTGTGGTTCAATGCCTATATCCTCTGCTGCCTCTCTCTCTCTCTCTCTCTCTCTCTCTCTCTCTCTCTCTCTCTCTCTCTCTCTCTCTCTCTCTCTCTCTCTCTCTCTCTCTCTCTCTCTCTCTCTCTCTCTCTCTCTCTCTCTCTCTCTCTCTCTCTCTCTCTCTTTCCCCCTTATTGCCTGTGTCTTTCCCGTTTACTAGTGAACAGTTCGCCAGCCTATATTTCCTTCTCCCAAACACAAACGCGTGCATATATTTTCTGGTGGGAGTCATAGCTTCTACACAGACAGTGTGTAACATAAACAAATGCTGGGCAGTCCGAGGCGCGTTAGTCACTTGTTCCCGTTTCCCTCGCCACTGTCAACTGCCTACAGGCGATGATATGAAACAGTCGCCGAACAGAAAGACGCCACCACTCGCCAGCGTACTTATATGTACATACCAGTAAAACGCCTTTTGGGCGAAGAACGAGCGAGCGAGATAGTGAGCTCTGCACGTGCGGAAGGGCGAGAGTGTACTTCAAACGGGCTCATCTGCAAAGCACCTTTCTAACCGGTCGCAAGCGATGTGCCAAATTTTAACGCAATCGGCCCAGCCGTTCCTGAGATCTGGAAGCGGCATTCTGCACGTGCGCACGTGCAAACGGGGTCCAAACTGACTTTTGCACGGCACCCTACTAACTGGTCCCCAACCGTGTACCAAATTTGAGCGCAATCGGCCCAGCCGTTCTCGAGATCTGGGAGCGCCCCCTGCACGTGCGCACGTGCAGTAGCACCCTAACCGCAACACATGGGAATGCATTGCCTGGTGGGTGCCTACCCGTATAATGTCAAATTTCAGCGAAATTGCCCCAGTAATTACCGAGTTATTGAAATGGGAACAAATTTGGCATGCCTCTTCTTTTTGCATTTTGCACGTGCAGTGGGGGTCACTCACATAGATGAAGAGTGTCCGACCATTGGTAGAAGGGATGCAGCTATACCCTACAAAAAATACCGCAAGACAATCGCCCAAGCGGCTGCTAAGATATGGGCCTCTCAAAATCACTACTTTTGCAAAACAGCTTGAACACCCTTGACTTTTCACGTGGCACGTGCCACGACGGTCACTGAGATGTATCAAAAGAAGTCAATTACGGGGTAGAAGGGATGGGGCTACCCAGCAAAAAAGACCGCAGGTCAATCGGTCCAGCGGTTGCTGAGATATACATAAGCCTCTCAAAAGCGTTACAAGCCGGGCCGGGCCGGGCCGCTCATACTGAGATTTTCCCGTTATATTGAAAAGACTCGCTTCGCTCGCTGCGCTCGCTCGCTCGTAATAACTGAACAGCGAAGTGCTGGCAGCATCATCAGCTAAGCTTAATCTGATGATTAATTATGATTAATTAATCTGATGTTTCCTCTCAAATAATATGATAATATGATGGTTTTATTACAAAGGTCTCTTTACCACCAGGAAAGAAATGGCGCGAGGGGTGGCACCTGGCAACTCCTTCCCCGTTACGTTTCACGGGTTGGGAAAATCGCATGTGCGGGCAAGGTATAATGGAGGTTTACTACTTTTCTATAGCTTGACAGCGATATACAAGTGAGTAGGTAATACCGTATTTACAAAAGTATCCATCTTGGATTTATCGGTTCATTGTTCGAAGATACCTATACCGAATTGACATTCCCTGGGCAGGAAATAAATGCATTATTATGTTGTTATTTTCCATGACTTGTATTTTTATAGGCAATCACTTCAGAAACAAAATGGCGGGTCGTGACAAGCTAAAGCTAACAAGTTACCAAGCTTGACATAGGACGAGGGCGCCCTATCAGGCCTATGTAGCTAACTAACCTCCCCGGGCGGAGGGCAGAAGCGTTGTGTTGGTGCGATCGACGGTGCGCGAACGGTGCGCCAAAAAAAGTTTTATGCGTTCTCCAAACTTTTAATGCTAACTTGAATTTAATTTAGATTTCATTTCTAGCAAATGATGTCAATGGTCCTTGAATTAATTGAACTGTGAGCTTTAAACGTTAATTAATGGACGGCCATCCAGCTTACAATGCACCTTCTTCGTACTAGCTATCACCACAATCCTTGAGTCAATAAATCAGCACGACTCGGACTGTCGCCTGGTAACTGGCACTGTGACCAAAATCCGCCTTAGTCAATAATTTTGTAATGCACCGAGATTTCCACACTGTGCAGGGCAAACAATATTCCATCTTTTGCAGAGCTGATTGCAAATCACCCGACTGCATGTTGCAAATTCACAATGCACCGGCAGGATCTCTGACACAAGTGGGATTAGCGCTGAAACGACACATTTGAGCAGCGATACACAAGGCATCATTTATGTTGCATCCATAGGCAGTTGATTGAAACTCAAGCTCGTGGGAAGATAGTGCTAGTTGCGCCGAACCCATGGAACCTGATACACTTAACCCGCGCACCGACGGGTCCGCGCCAACTTGAACCGACGGGGATAGGCCACCACCCCCCTGAGATCTCGAGAAAGAAGCAAGATAGAGACAAGTGGTAGGTAAACGGCATGGGGTATGCACGAACACGTCTGACAAGGTCTACAATTTTTGCAAAGGTCAATTTCAGGTCAGGTCAGAGATGACGTCACATGGGTCAAAAAAGTCGAAATGGCGGCGCTAGATATGAGGAGAGTTTTTCTCGAATAACTTTCGAAGTTGTGAAGCTAGGAACAAACTAATGGCACCAACGTGATCCTTTCGTCAATCCGCATCGAATTATATATGTGTTAACCTCGAAAGGTCAAGGTGAAAGGTTGAACTCACGCCACGTGACCTCAAGGTCATCATGTATCATCATTTGCTGCGCCTTGACGAGCTGAACACAATTAGGCCATCCGCGCGGCTGTATCTCGTTCCTGTAAGGACTAAGGAGTTATTAGCAAAAACCCTTTGGTGGCCTGTGATGACGTCACATGACCTTACAGTTGCCCAATAGCAAAACAGGGCTCAAGGTAGTCAAGGTTGATCGCATATGAAGCCATATATTCTGACGCGTTTTAGTGCAAGAAACTTGGAGCTGAGCTTCCCCCATTGACCTCCGGGAGGTCAAGAAATTGACCTGACCGGTGATCCATATCAAAGTACCGAGGTATAAAATTGTAGCTACTAATGACCTCATTACATCCTGCGACTTTCAAAGGCCTCCGTCAGCTACTGTAGCTCTGACACAGTGAAAAAGTTGCAAAACAGTGGTTCGAGGTTGAGCCATTCGAAGTGACCTGGTGACCGGACCTTAAAAAGTAGATGATTGAAAGTTGCACACCATGTGTAAAGTTAATGTAAAAATAGCCATGCTAGATTTCGCCGCGCTACGCGCCGCGGTTTCTCCACTATTCTCGAAAAACCTCAGGGTGGGGGGTGGGGCGATAACCGCCCCTCCACCCCCCGTTCGGTGCGCGGGTTAAAAATGTCCTGCCAGGGCGAAGGTTAAGTTGACCTCACTCGAACAAAAAGTATACCACTCGACGCGCCTGAGCTGTGGAAACACGAATATGTCAAAATCGCTGCTCTGCAACTATTTTTGGCGAAGTTATTATCCAAAAACCGATCCCGTGCCCCTTGCCACCGGACCTGACCTCACAGGTCAACGGTTGACTTGAGACCTTAAATTCAGTTACCACTCACTGCGTCTCGTAGCAGCGCGCACCCCTTTTTTTCGCGAGGCTCTAGCTTAACCCGCGCGGGGCTGGGGGGTAAATTTTACCCCCCCTCACGAATTTTTGCGATATCTCAAAAACGGCGGCGCGCAGCGCCGCCAAACTTTCAGTACCTTTTCTTACATCAATTTGACACCTTTCCTGAAAATTTGAGCGAAATCCGTCGGAAAATTTTTGAGAAATTGACGTTTTAGTGACGTCATGTTCGCCGTTTTCGCCTCAAAAACGGCAAAAGTTCAAACGCCGCTAACATCTTCATTTTTAAAGGAATCAAGACGTAACAAAAAGGTTATACGTAATTTTACTTTGTCTATCAAATGGCTATCTCGGTTTTTTGAAAATTTTGGATTTTGGCCTAAATTTTTTCAAAAAACTGATTTTTTTGGGAAAATCATTATAAAATCCAAAATTTTGAGTCTATCGAAAAAACCGGAATATATGTCAGAGAAGTGGTCTATGTGCACCTACATACCAAATTTTAGAAGAATCGGTTCAAAAATGTGGGAGTTATTCAAAATTGTATGACGTCACGACACACAATTTTTTTGAAAAATGACTTTTTTGGAAGTTCTAGACCTCGCACGGAAACAAAAATAGCACCATTCGATTCGCCGTGAAAAACTGCATCAGATAGACACCTTTTTAGGCCTTAACAACCAACTTCAAAATTTGACCTCACTTGACCTGACCTTGACCTGACCTCGACCTGAAATTCATCCAGAGGTGGTCCATATCCCTTATTGAGTGTGCCTATTGAATTCTATGAGTAAAATGACCCATAAAACATGTGTCGCACATGCCCTTTTCTATATTTTGTTTTTTGTTGACCTGACCTGACCTGACCTGACCTTGACCTTGACCTCTGAATGATATTGTATGCAACGAATATTGTCTTGGTAGCCTAAGAACACGTTTTGGGCGATCAGTCTCAGTCCATGACTCCATTCTTCGGCAACTACGGTGCAAGGCCGATACTGTAGAAACTTGCAATTTGTACCCTTGACCTGACCTTGACCTTGACCTCAAACTTTAAATTAAGTACATGTTTTTAGTAGTTCGTGATGAGAGCTTTCGATTGGCGTTTGAATTTTCCAAATCGGACCATTAGTTCGGGAGATAACAGGGGGGGTAAAATTTACCCCCCCAGCCCCGCGCGTTCGGCTGGAGACCCCAGCCCCGCGCGGGTTAATTAGGGGGTGAAACGGCGGGGGGTTTCATCTCGTGGTGTAAAATGTAGAAGACAAGTAGGTCCGGCGAGGGTCCAACTGCGCGGTATGCCGGAGTTTGCTATATGCGTGGTGCGTACAGCATATTACGACGCACTCATAATAGAACCTTTGACGTCATACGCGACATTAGTACTTCCCCACCCACGTTTCTCAGAGCTTTGAAACTAGTTCGTCATACCTCGGCTGCTTCCTGGAGCCTGGTCCTCCCGTCATCCTTCCTAAAAGCATCCACCGCTTCGCAAGAAGATGGCCGTCACACATATTAGCTACGCCTCAGTCTAGTAGGCCGGCTGCTGTATGGACCCATTGCTACTCCAGACTGTGTCCTGTGACATCGTCTATCATTATAGAGCGTGACTGGAATTTCCACCGATTGCCCGTCGTCCCGCCACCGACCCAGGGTCACGGCGGAGAGCGTCTCGACGCCGATAAGGAGGAGGCGATTCACCTTTCCTCGCTGACCCTGGATGTGTCTCAGGTCACTGCCGAAGAAGCGGCCCTGGATGTGTCTCAGGTCACCGCCGCGGGAAGCGGCTAATGCAGTAATGGACGCAGCGCGATATGTAGCTATGCCATGTGGTGCCGGCGTCTTTGTCGTACGACTGTGATTTACAAGTGGCTTCAATTGGCTATTATGAAGTGAGAGATGGTGATTAGAACTTTACAGTGACGCACCTTATTACATGGGGGCATACAATAGCAAAATATGATGCATCAGGTAATGTGCAGAGCGTTGGCGGTCTTGTAGCATCCATCTGAAATGGTACTACTAAAAACAAATTCACCAAAAAGTGTTGTTGTTTATTAAAACAAAGACGAATCAATGTTTATTGTAGAGAGAGAGAGAGAGAGAGAGAGAGAGAGAGAGAGAGAGAGAGAGAGAGAGAGAGAGAGAGAGAGAGAGAGAGAGAGAGAGAGAGAGAGAGAGAGAGAGAGAGAGAGAGAGAGAGAGAGAGAGGTGGGAAAAGAACAGAGGGAGAGAAAGAGAGGGAGAGAGAGGGAGAGAGAGGGATTGGGAGACGGTTAGAGACGGAGACAGATAGAGGCGGAGGCGGAGGGAGTCTGAGACATAGACAGACGGTAGGGGGTGGTTTGGACGGGTTGTAACGACTTCGGAATTCCCAAAATGAAAAGCTGGTCAGACTGGTCGAATATCTTTATTCAAACTGGTCGGAAAGATAACAAGCTAGATGACCTCGGACACACAGGAACATAAATCAAGATACTATCTTCATGTGATTAACCTTTTCAATCGACAACCTCAACAACATGAGGGGATTAAAGGATTTGGCCAAATGTGGCATTCGGTGGCCCCATGTGTATCATATTCCACATTTTATGTTAGTCGACCATCGACAAACCTACATCAGATGCAAGCAATTATTAGTGAGCGCTGGATCTACTAAAGGTATGCATACCGGTGGACTGTTTTGTTGCCGACCCGGCATTCCGTTGGTGGCTCGCGAGTGCAGTCTGATGGATTATTGATTATCAAGCTGCGATAATTGTCTGTCAAATGATAAGCAGACGTATGTCGGTGACGCGAGAAGATTGTAACGCAACTGTTACAGTTTCTTTTTCGTTCGTTTCATTTCATCACCGTGATAGCTAACACAATAGGTGTGCGTATTGTGTATGGAATTTGGATTCGCCAGCCGCCAGTTCGAAAAAGACAATCGGTCTCGGTGACAAGGGGCGGGGGAACCCCTACTTACTTCGCATGCTCATCAACCGAGGCTTAGGGCTGAACTCTATTCAACGACTGGGGCATGACCAGTTAAATTGCATTGCGATTAACGTCGGTGTGGGTCTACTGTATGCATTACAATGTCGGCGCCAGCGGCTGCGTTTGACCGGCGATAACCATCTGTGAATGCCGGTTCCCCAGTCCCGTGCTTTATCCACGTATGCCGAATGGACAAGGGACACCGTCACAGCTTCAGCACGGGCTGTCTTCAGGCAAAATATGGCCCCCTTGCATTTGAATATGAGTGGCTCATAATGAATGTAATCATATATTGGAATCCTAAATCATACTACTCCAATAACGAATGTGTACCTTTATTAGCAATGCATCACAAAAAAACTAAAAAGTATATTACGTATATCATATGCTGTTATTGTAAATGTTTTTGGATGCGAAACGTCCATGACGTAAAAGATATACTAGACAGCGGTAAATGTCAGCTCTGCCTGCATTCATCCAATCTTGCAACACTGTCAAAAACATTATAAATACAAGTCCAACCGGGCATACGAGATAATAGCCAACCTAAAGCTGGTATGGCTGTCGTCAGCATCCCGTTCACCTTGAGAGAGGTGGGATGAGTCAGTGCCTCAGCCAACGGTGGCGCAGCGCCCATCAGCACGTGACCTCCGCCTCAGAAGTCCCGGGGTTTCGTTCGGCTGATCGTACAGAGGACTCGTTGCAGCAGTGACAGTTTTTAATCCGCAGAAACCAGTTTTTCGCCAGAACACAGGACAGGTCAGTGTCGTACCAGCCGTTGATGGGAGCGTGGTAGACTTGGATAACAGTTTCGGACCGCCTTTTTTGTAAGTACCACCGCGAGAGGTAAATCACAAGCATGCAAGAGTGTGTGCAATATGCATGGGTAATGGGTATGATAACATGAATTTTGGATCTCGTCTCTCTCTTCCTGGCCTGGAATCCTATCGGATCATTCATCCCTATTTCGTATGCATTTCTTTTTTTTTAGATACGCGAATTTTGCTGTGCGAATTGATTTATTGCATACTTCTCGGAATCTAATGAATAGTGATCACAAACCAGTAACATGAAGTTTCTTTTTGAAGATTTTCTGAGATCACATATTCCTCATTCAGATCGTCTGGCATGTGATTTATTAGATTATTTTAGATTGTTCAGAAATTATTTAGAGATTATTAGCCATTAGCTTCATTAGATTATTTAGCAGCTTACCAACACGAAACACTCTCTGTCTTTCTCTCCCCTGCACCTTCGGTATAAAACAAACATGCATTTTTCTGTGTATGCTCATCCGATGACTTTAATTACTTTAATACTGCTGATGACTTTAATACTAGCGTAGCTATTTTTTGTTATATTTACTCTCATTCTTTTCTCAAAACATGTTACCCAGTAGTCAGTAATCAATAAATGATAAGCCTGCTCCCTGTGACCTGAGTCGTCCCCTGCAGCCTGACCCCCGGTGGTTGGTGAAGGAGCGATGTCTCTCTCGGCGCTGGCCGGCCCGCAGCTGCACGTGCTGCTCACCCTGTCGGAGCTGCTCACCACGGTCATCGTGCCGCCGGACGCACGCACGTGCGGGGTGCGCCACGAGCGTGGCACGTGCCAGCGCTTTGTGGAGCCCGTCGAACTGATCAGCAGCCCGACGAGGAGCAACCGCACGGCGCAGACCGGCGAGTTTCCGTGGCTGGTGTCGGTGCGCGGCGCACCGCCGTCCCGCGCCGACTCGCCGCAGCCCCTCTGCACCGGCCTGCTGGTACACCAGCAGGCCGTGCTGGTGTCGGCCGCCTGCCACGAGGCGGCCACCAACGCCGACCAGCGCATGCACGTGCGTCTGGGCGAGTACAACATTCTGAGCGACGTGGACGCCGGCCGGCCGCCGCTGGACATCAACATCCGTCGGGCCGTCTACCACCCCGAGTACAGCGCCGGCCTCAACGATGTGGGGCTGCTGGTGCTGGAGCACCCGGCGCGGCTGGGTGAGGACGTGAACGTGATCTGCCTGCCGCAGTGGCGCCGCGACACCGAGTCACCGGCTGACCTGACCGCCGACTGGGAGCACACAGAGTGTGTGCTGCACGGCTGGGTGGACACCACGATCGACAGCACCCCAGTACCGCTGCGCGACACGGTCCGCTTTCTGGGCCGCGCCGCGTGCCAGACGCGGATGCGCGAGCTGGACAGGCTCGGGCCCCTGCACACTCTTCACGCCGGCTTCGCGTGCGCCTCTGCCGAGACCGGCTGCTGGGCGGACGGCGGCTCTCCGCTGGTGTGTCGGCTGCGCGAGGACCGCTCGCGCTGGGTGCTGGCTGGCCTGCGCGCCTGGGTGCGCCAGTTCAACGACTGTGACCGGGTGGCCACCTACACTAACGTGGCCGTCTTCTCTGACTGGATCAGAGACACGATCGACGCTGAGCTGAGCGTGGCTGCCTAGCGCGGCTGGAAGGCGACGGTGAAAACGACGGCCCCAGGAGAGTGACCCTCCACTGGAGTTCAGAGATTTCGTGGCACTTATAAGAGAGCTTTTGGGGGTCATTTACAATCCTTTTGGCTTGATTTGCATCGCATGTCGCACCTGTAAGTTCTGGTAGGATGAAAGTGATTCATCGGTGCACATAGTGGCACGTCTTGCAACATTGGGTACGTAGCTCATTTATGCGTATTTGATGTTTTATCTTGTTGCGAGAGAAATAATAGGGAAGTGAGTATAGTAAAAGCAAAATAAAACTTCTCTGTCCGAAGTCTATGCACCACATTCCGTTGTCCGGTATTTTCATAAATTAGTGCGTGAAGAAGTCTTAGTCTGTGCAGGAAGCCTCCATGTGCTGTTTATATTCACTTAATTAATATCTTCCTTTATTTATCTTCTTGAACATTGTGTTTTCCGTTCGTCGTATTTTTGGTGTCTGACGACACTAAGATTCATTTTACTAGCATTGCTCAATGCCCTCGGAGTGGGCTCGCTATAATCACTGGGAGAGCTGAGACTGCACATGTGTTTTTATTATTCCTGTCGTCGCGGTGTTGCATCACTTAGCTGGTACTTCAAGTGAGTTTCTTTCCACTTTACCGCATGAAGCAATGAGTGAAAGAGATGATTATTGGACTGACAAACATTCATCGAGCTCGATTTTCCGCTGCCAATTTTATGTACATCGGTGTATAGCTGTGTAGCTGTATCACATGCATAGCTGATGTAGGCATCATCGCTTCAATTCCCCACATGTAGCACAGGTGACTAGAATGCGGCACCTTTTCCTGGTGCACTTCGATAACAATCGGACATTACTTGGGCTAAAAAATATAAAATAATGAACTGTGCACCTTTTACACAGGTGGATGCGGACTGAGCAGAGGTCGCTTTCAGTTCTCGAGAACAGCTGGGCCGATTCGCTCAAATTTGGTACATTGCTAGAAGCCGGTTAATAGGGTGTCATGCACACGTCTGTTGGGAGTAGGTATCTCCTCACATTTCCACACGTGTAACACTATGGCGCGGGCTCTTTTATCACCCCTAAAGGCGTCTTACTGGCTTATCATTCTACGTGAGACTCTGAACAAGCAGTGCACAAAAATCTACAGAGTTCCGTACCCCTCTGTAATATCTAGCTCCCTCCCCCTCCCTCCCTCCCCCCCTCTCTCTCTCTCTCTCTCTCTCTCTCTCTCTCTCTCTCTCTCTCTCTCTCTCTCCGATGCCTTTCAACAATTATAAATTAAACGTAAACATTTTATCTCATTTTTACACCATAGCATAATCTGCAGCCACATTCAACGTCCTTCAAAATAAGTTATCATTTTATAACAATTATGCTTGAATAGTAGGTAATATACGATACCTACCTACCTGTAGGTACACTGCTGAGCTCTGAGCCTCCTATACCTACCTACCCCGGGCAGTGGGCACTACACACATTTCTAAATAGCACATTTCACATTGATTTTAGGTAGTTCCGAGCGGCGCATAGTATATACCAGTTATACGGCGCAGGTGACGGAACATATGAAGGGACTGAGGTTCCGAAACTATACTGTCCCTGGCTTACGGGATATGCAATTATGCACCACACAGAAGGATATTCAGAGACACCTAGCAGAGCTATGGCTAACTACAATGCAGACCCAGCTCGGCGATCGGTCTATCTGTTAGCGCTCGTACGTGTCCCTTGAAGATTGTGTCACATTCATTGGCGGCCCCAGTAGGGTCTGAAAGGGGATAAACACCACGGGTGAGGTTAACCAATCAGGCTTTGTTTTTTGTTTTGTTGGGTTAGGCCCTTTCGGTCTGACAAGACCATTGCAGAGCCGGAAGGATGATAGGAATTAGGGGGAGACATTGGTGTGGGCAGGCACCCTAGTGAGTCGCCGGGGCTGAGCCCGTCCAGAGGACAGGCCACCCAGCCCCAAGGCACTCACTGCACCCGGCTACGGGGTGCGCTCCCTCGGGAGCAGCAGTGCCGCTCCAAGGGAGCAGCCCGCATGAGATAAAGTTGCCTGTCCAGCCCGGAGGGGGGTTGCGGCGTGGAGGAGAAGGACTTCAGTATCCTGAGGATAGAAGCACGGAACGGTGACCAATCAGGCGGGTGACCAAAACTTATCCTCCACAAGTCAGTAGTCACTGATGGAAGAACAAACGGTTGGCGCAGGGCGTATGTACCTACCTATTTCCAAACTGCACTCCAGACGGGCCTTTCTGGACTGGAACGAACGCCGGTCATTGTCTTTCCTCGATAGCTTTGCCAACGTAAGATCATGATCAATGAAAAACTACAAACCTTTTCTCTCTTGCATAACTACTCCTCAATCAATGCCCTCTCAGCGGCTGGGACCGTACAGTTCGACACATAGGCTAAAGCGAAAGCTCGACTAGCGACACCTGGCAGCGGTGACTCAAACTGGTAGTTTCACCAGCGGCCACCATGGATGCCGTGAAACCTAGTGCCTGGATTATTCACAGGTCGTCGTTGACTTCCATGCTCTGACATGGGGTTGGGTCTTCGCTGAACAGCGGATTTTTCACCTCCATTTCACCACTCTGAAAGATGATGCATATGTGTCAGCAGAAAACACTAGCAAGTAGCAAGATCAAAAACTACTTTATCTTTATCAGTGGCGGATCCAGCTCGGAGTTTTGGGCGGGGGGGGGGGGCAAACCATAACAATTTATCGATTCTTTCCATGCCTCGTCCATAGGCGTAATTTAAAATTATGCCGTTTGGGAGGGACAAATGTCCATTTGGCCCCCCCCCCCCCACCTGGATCCGCCACTGATCTTTATGTACAGAAACAATACCTTTAGGTATAGGTATGATATAATAAAGGTATGGCAGCGGGCAGTGCGTGCGGCGCCTGATGTGTACTGTGTTTGCTGTACCGCTGACTGTACTGTTAGCGGTAGGTATGTGGTATGGTTGCTGCAGTGTCTGCCGGTGTTTGCCCTCACCGGCGCCAGTCCCGGACACTCGTACACGGTGTGCTCGCTCTCGTCGTCCTCCGGGTCCGAATTTTCGTCAGAGGGCGAGCTGCAGCGTCCCAGCGCCTTCCTGTAACGATTCAACGTTCACCGTCAGACACGTGCCGGCCTCACGACGGTTAGGCATAGTCGACAGCACCGCAGTTGGGCGGTTAGGCTAAGATGGATCCCAGTTGGGCGGTTATGTAACTAACCGGACCACAGTTGTGTAGATAGGTAGCTATAACTGGACCACAGTTGTGTAGACAGGTAAGCTATAACTGGACCACAGCTGGGCGACTGGGAAACTAACCGCACCACAGTTGTGTGGATAGGTAGCTATAACATGTACCACAGTTCAGCGGTTAGGCAGCTAACCGGACCACACTTGTAGGGTTCGTCAGCCGTTAGCAACCGTGGCACAGTTGGAATATTTGGTTACCGGCCGGATAACAATTTGGCGGTCAGATTACCCACCAAAGCGTATTTTGTTGGCTAGTTTACCAACCCATCTGTAATTGGATGGCTAGGTTTCAGCCCGACCGAACGTAATTATATGGCTAGAGCATAGGCTAGAGCTAGCAACCAGAAAGCATATTATGCCAGGGGTTAGGTGCCAGGACTACCAAGGACCGCCCGCAGAAAAGTGGGTACCTATAGATTACCGACCAGTGACTACTGACCAGACTACTGATGGCTTTTGCTTTACCGACCGGACAACAGGGTTAGTTACCGAACGGACGGCAGGATTAGGTTACCAGCCGGCCTGAGTTGGTTTTGAAGCAAGACGACCGGAGCTGAAAGGTCAGCGGGCACCCACATGATGTCACTGCAGAGTGAGTTCAATGGCAGCGATTCGTGGCGAAACAGTGGTCTTTTATTCACGACTACGCGGTAAGGTCGTGGTGAGCAAGACATCGAAATTCGAAAAGGTGAACGGGAAGGGAAAGTTGAGACATCGGTATCAAACCGTTAATAATGAATTGCCCGGTATACGAGTATTCCTGTACTAGCTTGAAGCAACACAACCGGTCCCGAAATTTATATATGACACCCACTGCTGAGCCCAGTGAAGGCAACTCTCAACGGTTCCATTATCATTCCATCACAGTGTTATTGGAAGTGCATGCTTGTGGCTTCTTTTTTGTCAAATTGAACGATCATAAAGGGAAATAATTGTAATGATTCCTATTTCCTGCAACACATTTCCTTCAATTTATTTGTTTTCCTTTCTGCATATTCCAAGCAAATTTTCTTTTTAACCCGCGCCGGGCCGGTGCTCTGAGATTCCGCGCCGGGCCGCGGGGGGGTGTTTGAACACCCCCCCCCCCCTTCTAACTCGGCTCCTGGGCCACGTAGCGACACGCGGTAAGCGGCAATCGAAAGAACGTCAAAAATAAGGACGAAAACACTACGGTCATTTTTTGGGTCAGGTCAAAGGTCAGGTCACCAGAGGTCACCAAAGGCAAAATGTTGACTATTTCAACATTTTGGAAACTGCCAACGGCTATCTCGGGAACCGATAGAGCTACAGCGCCGCAAAAAAGCGCATTCGATAGCCCTTTTACAGACCTTTCTGAATAATGTTCTCAGATTTGACCTCAGGTCAACGGTTTAGCCTCCAGAGGGCAAAAACTCCAAAAATAGCCGTTTTTACGAAAAACGTTTTTTCGGCAATAACTTTTAACTCAAAAGAGCTATGACATTACTTTTGCCAGCATCGTGTTCCTCTCGTCGAGACGCGTCGAATGAACTATAATTTGACCCTGAAAGGTCAACTTGAAAATTTGACCTCAGGTCAAGGTCATGACCTGACCGGAAAAGGTCATGTTGCATATCAGTCGATCCGCAACGTCGAGCCGAACACATCTAAGGCGTTTTCAGCGCTCTAGCACGCCTCTATCAGAAGTTATCATCGAAAAACTGTTAGATTCTGTTCGTGACCTGAGATGACCTCGGGGACATAACGAGGGGTCACAGTTGCCATTTTCTGGTTCAGTGTGTCTATTTTACCTACATCTCGATGTTTGAGAGTGTCTAGAATAGCGTTCGTGCAAAACAGACGCTTTTCAATTTTCTCCCGTTGACTTATAATGGAGAGGCCGCAAAATTGACCTGACCTTAGGTCACCGATATCAAAATTCCGAGATATACATTTTATAGATAGTGTTGCTCTTATCAATCGCTGAAAGTTTCAAGGCAATCGTTCAGTCGGTGTAGCTATGACGAGCATTCTTATTTTTTCTGAGGTGAGGTCACTTGGCGTGACCTGGTGACCTGCCCTATAGTGACCTGGGTCTGAAATTTTCACAACATGTGCGGAAAAGATGGACAAACAGGTGTGCCAAAAACGGCGGCGCGGAGCGCCGCCGTTTTTGAGATATCTGCGAAAAACCGCAAGGGGGGTGTTCAAACACCCCCCCCCCCCGGCCCGGCGCGGGTTAATATTCAGATCATAATAAAGCCGAGGTTCCGCCGGCTGACTGATGGTTATTGCCGGCGGACGCCACTGACCCCTCCTGGATGGCCATCATGTGCTGTTTCTGGTGCTGGTAGTGGTAGAGCTGCGCCGACTGGGCCAGACGCCTGTCGGCCGAGGCCGGACTGAGCCCCGAGTGCGGGCCGGTCACTCCGTAGGACGGCGGTCCGGACTCGGTCGAGCTGTGCCGACGGCGCCGCTGCAGGCTGCGGCACGTACGGCGGAGTGTCAGACGCCTGGGACCTATGAGATATGATTGTAGATATTCTCAGGGGACAGCAGCGGCTGCTGGGGTGTTCCAAGGGCAGTGTTGTAAAAAAAGGCTGCATTGGGGAGACGATAGATTTAGAACCTGATTATGTAAGGACATATAGAAATATAATTATTATAGGCAATTATCGATAACCTCATAATACAGATTTAGAACTGCGCTCACCGGAGAGGAGCTTCGTTTCGCAAAGATGTTACTTGATGTCAGGTTGGTTGAGCTGAACTCAAATAGCCTTCGGTGTTGCAGTAAGCTAAAAGTGCAGCCTTCATAAACGGGCCTTCTGCTGTGTTATGATTTTTTAGACGCATGAAGTTGCTGCAAAGGTAGGACATGAAGTTGTTGCAAAGGCAGGACGTTGATGAATGTGTCGACTTACTAACGGTAGCAGATGCCGCCTAGGACCGAGACACAGACAGTGCCCGTGCAGATGCCGACAACAGCAACTGCAAACGGAAAACGTTATAGGGTTCTGTCAGCTGGGAACACCGATCAATCCTGGTGTCGTTAGGAAAGATTCTTAACGCGACTGATAAACGCATCTTTCTTGTAATGTATAACTTCATATAGCTTATGGAATAGTTACGCTGTTTCCAGTTTCTTGGCCGAGATTTTTAATTCTGTTCGAATGAATTTGTGATAGCATTAGTTCCATCAGTGAAACGTCATTGCGGTCTGAACAGTAAACACATTATTTAAATCTACTGTTTTAGTTCACTTTTCTGTGCTTTTCATTTTTAGTGTGGAATACCTATGTTTTGTCCATTTTGGGAAAGTTTTTAGGGCAATTTCAATTATCTATAATAGGTACTTTGAACAGCTGTTCTCACCGATAAAGTAAACGTCGGCGTTTTTATCTGGCTCGGGGTGAGATCCTCGAAGTGCTGCTGGTCGCCCCGCTAAATGGGCCTCTGCCATTGGTCGCTTGTCTTTGACGTCACCAGTGGCCAATGTATCTGATACCGAATCGGGTTTTGGATTCCCAAGGCTGCCATAGAAATCGCTTGAACTGGGGATGGGACTTGCAATCTCCAGCTGTCCTGAAAAAGTAAAACGAAGTCTTATCGCAAAGCTTGTCGAAAACGTCGGACATAATGCGATTTTCTATTAGCAATTATAAAAACTTGTCAGGATTGACTCGACGAATATGTGAGCACTGAACACTGAGTGAATTGAACATTTGATTGCTGTTGGATCTGACCGATCTGCAGTGCTGCAAAGGCAGCAGTACCGCACAAACGCGCATTGTTGGAGCTTCTATAGGCTAACTGTTTACATAAAACGGTCTTATTACGAGTATTACCTACCTGTGGTAAAATATTAGTGTGTCTAACAGTGAGTGGTGTGGCCAATCAGTGAGAAGAGGTATAGTGGTTGGGGATGTGGCAATTAGTGATTTTCCTCCCATGCTATTAGAAACGATGGGTCCCGGGAGGCGCTTCAGTCGCGAGCGGAATCCCTACGAGTTCTGTTGACGGGACCCCAGAAATGCCCATGCAATATTCGAATCGAGTGCTCCACTTGAATGCAGAATGTGTCTGGTCAGAGAATTGTTCTCCGTACTTGGGGGGCTCTATCAAATGGACCGCGTCTTCCAAAATACGCCAGGAAAATCTTATAGCACAAAAAGACGCCTTTTCACGTAGGCGGAACTATGGTCATGAGTACCCAAATATATAGGAACGTTCCCATTTTTAGGAACGGAGTTCCCAAATATGGGAACGGGCGTTCCCATTTATGAGAACGGAAGGCAATTTTTCGGCCGTTCGCCCACTAAAACTCAAAAGTGCATCACGTCTCAAAAAAGTGCACGCTGATTTAAGTATCTACTAAATCTCCATAAAGTTATCTTTAATCTGACCATGGAACAAGGAAATTGACCGTGGAATGATATTTTTAATGATTTTTTAAAAATGACAGAATGGTGGAAATATGGGTTATACGACATTTAACATGCAATTTTAAGGAAAATGAAGCATTTTTTACATTTTGAGGTAAAGTATAATAATTTTCGCCTGGTTATGAAGTTTCATTCTAGCGACACCAGATGCTGACATATGCAAGCGAACACGCGGACAGTCCCGAGGTAATATTGTTGACTTTTGGTGTCGGGGCGATCGACCGCGTGGAACGTCAGTGATTTTACCGAACTACTGTTGTAAACTCAGTTTCAGTGGTTTAAAATCATTCAGCTGTATTTTATCAGCCCTGAAAGACATATTTTATTTGGATGCTAGCTGTTTAGCGTTGTTTTATAAGCAGCGTCATGAGCGTGGTTTTTGTCTTCGGCGTTTCTAAGCATGATCGTTTGGGGGGAATTTCTCTGATATAGGTCGCTCTGTGTGGCTTATTTATAATTTTTATGCTGATTTCGATCATTCCTCGTGCCCATCCTACCAGGCCTTTTGCCACTTACACTCATTAAGAAAGGAAAAAACTAGATTTTCATTGGGACTAGGTGTTTTGAGGGTGTAACATATTCAGCGTTCCCATTTTTGGATACTTCTTGTGCTCGTCAACTCTCGGTGATTAGCAGACAGGTGCTTGACATGTCTCCACCCTCGGCGCGGACGGTGGATATAGGTATGGAAGACCTTGTTGAACATCGCTGAGCGTTGTGGATTACGTAATCCTGCAGAGGGGGGCGTGCCCGCTGCGAGATCGACGGGAATAAAAGCGCAGAAGACCGGGCGAAACATGCAACGGTCTTGCCGGAAAGGTCATCTGATGATTGTTGCGTTAACAATAATTTGCGGCGTTGGACGTGATGCTTGTTAATGAAAAGAGCCCCTGAAAGGCGTCGGTGAAATCGTTCCCAATTTTGGGTACGCCGTTCCCATAATAAGGAACGCTTGCAGCGCCAGTGTACGAGAGTGTTCCCAAATTTGGGCTCGCGGCCCGGGTGATGGACTGCTTTAGAAATAGGGGAACGATTTGAAACTACGATGGGCCTTACAATATCAAACTCTTTCCCAACAATATTGAGCCAACTATCAGGCGGTTCACGATCGTTTTATATTTTTTGGACGTCATTTAACGGTTCTTTTTCTTGTTTTAAATAATGCCTACATGGCGTTCCCATATTTGGGTTTATCGTTCCCAAACATGGGAACGAAAATGCGTTCCCGAAAATGGGTACGCTTGACCATAGTTCCGCCTACTGAGATGTGAAAAGCTGCCACGGCGGCTACGCTACTTTCCGCGCTCACTAGTCCATCTCTACTCACGCTATATTTGTACACACTTATGTAACCTGCCGCGCGTTGTTCACGCAGCCTGCACTCATTCTCATCTCCCATCACTGCATCTCCCATCGCATATCATATGTCCTCAGCAGACGCACATCAATACGAACCTCAATAGGAGCGGTATGGGAGGAGGGGGAGCATTGGTGAGCTGTTCGCCGGTCATGACAAAGGCGGGTATCGTGCGCGAGGCTCGAGCCGTTCAGACGCGCTGATTGCTATTGATTGGATGGGATGTTGACGGTGAAATTGGATATATCAGTTTTACCTTTTACAGTACGTCCTGTAAAACGTTTTTAAAACTTTTTTTACATTTGTAAAATATGTAATACGTTTGTACAGTAGAGTTTTTAGCGTTTTGACATGCAAGTCCCTTCAGGCTTACTATGAAAGACCATTGCAGGGACCTGGTCTAAAGAGATGTCATGTCTAAGGCATTACAAACATTGCGAATAGAAAGATCACCAAACCGCTGGACTTCGGTGTCACCATGTGGGAAGCTCACCACAAAAGTAACGTGGGCTTCACCAACAACTTACCGACGACTGTCCAACGTGGGGCACAAGAAAGGCGAATGTGGAAGTCGATGAGCACGCCCTACATATGATAACTAAAATGAACGAATCGTATAGGACAGTGGATGCGATTGTGGACCTATAAAAATCAACTTCACATGAACATGCAAGCGAACCTTGCTAAGGAAATGAACGGTATTGAGTCCCAACTTTTCTTATTCTGGCTCGCATTCTGAGTCTCCCGATCTGGTGGAAAGCATCCAAAGATGCCTTGGCAATTAGCATTGTAAACGCACATATACACTGTACGGTGTAAGTACAATGTTTCGCAAATAGCAATCAGAGCAGCCTGACATTTAAAACAGCAGTTAAACGTTGGTGGTCACAATGCACAGTTGCAATTCAGTCTGTTTTACCGTCCGTATTTTCTGCAATTTCTGCATAGTTTCTGACCTGAATATGAAAAAGGCACGCTCCAATTTGATGGCTTAGAAGAGTTAAGCCAACCGTAAGTTTTGTGGAGCCATTATGGGCTTGACACCGGGTCACAGTACCGAAGTATAGGTTTAACTCTCGCATGTGTGCGGTGTTTTCCAGCGTTTAAAGTGTGATGGGTCGGTTGGACCCCCTTGCCAGTTGCTGTTCAGTGTTCGGCCCCTGATCGAGTTAAAGCTTCGCGGAAAAAAACGAGTGTGTTGCCCGTGACGAGAGGAAGCCGATGATGCCCAATTTTAAGGTCCTAGGTCATTGGGTGACCTTCCAGGTCAGGTCAAGGGCCCAAAAGTCGGGAAAATTGGGACCTGCTAGAAGTTCGTAAAGTGAAACTGTTATGGGCTTTCGGGGTGCTGATCACGAATTTCATGTCAGTTTTGATCGCAGATGGTGTCTTCATGCATTTAGGCCACGTCGGGTCAGGTCAGGTCAGGTCAACCAGTAGCTGTTCTGCCGGCTATCCATAGTAGGTGTCAGCTACCACTGACGGCGTCGTAACATGTTACGAAGGCACTAAAACTACTTCGCAAGCTGTTCAAATGTATTCTAAATTCGAAATCAGCCCATAATACTACCCTAGAAACATGTAAGACTCGAAAAAATGAACCAAGGTCATGAAAGGTCTATGACCTGATCTGACCTTCAGGTGACCTTGACACCCACCGTACTATGCCTGAGACAAACATCATTTCACATGGTTGGACGTTAACAATCACAAAAAGACTGGAAACGCGCGGATAATGTGACCTGAAGTACATACGGTGAATTGCGATTCCAGGCAAACATTGTCTCGAGAAATAGGTCACAGGTCAAAGGTCATTTGGGTCAGGGTCAATAAATTTTCAGAGTCGGTGTATAATTGATCAACTCGAGGTACTATAATTGTTGTCGCGATCGTCCGCTTTTTGCGCGAGTTACTTGCGAAAAACCGAGGGGGTCTATCCGCCCCCCCCCCTATATATGCGAGGGTTAACAAGTAATTTACGGAGTAAATTTATCAATCACCAGACATCTGCATGGACCCGAGTGATGAATCTATGATCTCAGTGGATCTCGAAGCAAAGTAGGGGAGAGCGGGGCCAGTTGAACCACTTTTTATATATTGACATGCACAGCGAGATCTAGTTGTCATATCGAAAAATGCACAATGCCATGAAAAAATATGCTCTTTTGGCTTTATTTTAAGATATGTAAAATTATGTTTCAAACATATTTTGCTGCCAAACGCATGCTTATAAAACAGTTCTACGCCCGTTTCAAATGACCCCGATGCGAGGGTCAATTGAACCAGCCCATGGGGTCAATTGCACCTATCCTTAACAATGGGATGTTTTCCTAGAGCTCTTTAAGGCCACTTTCTTAAGGAGATATTTTGTCCGGTTTACTTTTCCAAATGCTACACTCAATAGGTCGTTGGAAAGCTAAAAGTGCAAAGTTCCTCATAATAGGTGACATAAAGTACATAGACTGTGGTAAAATGGGCGGATGAGAAAAATGAGAAATATCTCAGGCTATAGTGTGCTTTCAAGCAAAAGGCTGGAGAAAAGGGGTCAAAAATTGAGCTCTATTAAACTACTATTTCAGTTTAAAAGCTCATTTCAAAGGTGGACTATTTCCTTTAATGTTTACAGCCCCTGAACAATAACCATTGCAAAGGTCACCGGGGTCCATTGAAACGGCCTGTGGCCCTGTTTCAACTGACCCTCAGAGAAGCGTTTCAATTGACCCCATCCGCTCCCGCCATCTCGCACGCACCGTAAAGCACATGTCAAACGAGCTGGAGGGACG